TTTCACTCAGTAAAGGCCAAAGTCCACAGTGGTTCAGTTCCAATACTTTTTTTTTTTTTTTTAATTAAAGATGACTGGTAAGGGGATCTTAACCCTTGACTTGGTCTCGTCAGCACCATGCTCTCCCAAGTGAGCCCCGGGCCGGTCCCTCAGTTCCAATACTTCCGACCCTTCACAGCTGGCTTCCTTGCTCGTTCTCATTTGGTTCAGGCACGCCACCGCCTTAGGACTCTCCATTTGCTGATGACTCTTTCTGGACCAACCTTCTCCAGACAGTCATATTGCTAACTTCCTCACCTTCAAGTCATTGCTCTAATGTCAACCTCTTCAGCAAGGCCTACACTGACCAGTCTATTTTTAATTGCAATCTGCACCCCCATCCCTCTTACTGTCCCTTCACTTCTTCTTAATACTATCCCCCTATAACACACTATATACTGTAATTATCTATTATATCTATTGTTCAGTGTGTAACATCCACCTCTACTCCGGCAGGACGTAATCTCCATAAAGGCAAAAATGTTGATCTGTTTTGTTCCCTCATGTACTCTGATGCATGTCCTGTACAGAATCTGGCATAAAGTAGACGCTCAATACATATCTGAATGAATATATCCACGGAAGGAAAGAAGCCAGGAGAATAGGGGGATCTTGAAACTGTGAAAGGGGTAATAAAGCAGTACCTGTAAAATACAGAAAGGCATGGTAGCAAGCACACACAGACGGAATGATCTGCAGCGCTGGAACGGCACTTCTCAACTGTATCACATCCAAATGAAACCGTTTAGAGCTCGCTCTCCCCCACCCCCACGCCCTCTGTTCCTTGGGGACCCCTGCGTGTCACATTAATTCTGAACCTCTAGTGTCCAGAGAAGTGCCTGGCACAAACTAAGTGCTCAAAAGAGGTGTTGGGTAAATTAACAAATCAATTTATCTATGTCCCTAACTACTTTAAAGCTCGTAGAGAGGAGACCCCGCGTCTTACTCAGTTCTGCCGCCCCACCCCCCCCTTAGAGGCGAGGTCGCCACTGACGTCCTGCATTTCTGCGCGATAAGGCAGAGTCCTGGGAGGAAGAGGCTGGTTTAACAAGCTTCCGGTCACGTGGCGGGAGTGGGCGTGGCCGAAGGGTTCATATCCCAGTGTCCTTTGTACCTATTTCCTTTTTGTCCCTTTCCGGCATCCAAGATGTCGAAGCGAGGTGAGGTTTTCGGCTGTGGGGGATCCTGCGCCATCTGTCGTGCGGTGGCTGCCGGCCTCGCTGGGAGCGGCGGCCCTGTGCAGCTTGGGCGCTTTGCTTTCCTCTGGGTCGGAGGGGGAGAGGAGGGGCACCGCAAGAGCACTGAAAGTGTCCCCGAAAGTGTTGGGGGTGCTGTAGGGTTCAGTTGGCAGGATCCCGATGCGATTCTAAACCCAGACCGGCGAGATGGCTCCGCGCGTGGCGCTGCAGTAATGGGGATGAAATTGGACGGGCTTAGGCCCCCAAACCGGGCGCTGTCTCCCGTATTGTAAGAGGAACTGCGTGTTGCAAAAGTCGGATCAAGGATTGAGTCGTTCGGGCCGCTTAATCTCGCATAAGGATGTTAATAGTGAGGAGGTGGCTATGTTCCTTGAGAACCGGGTGGCACACGGAGAGGGAGTAAGTGGCATCCTCGGGAGAGCTAATCTATAGAATACAGTCTTCCAAAGCATGTGTGATGGATTTATGGCTTGACAGTGAGGGGAGCTCCGAATCATGTCTGGACAGTGACCTCTTTATCCTGTTGCCCTTCTCTTCCTACCCGCAGGACGTGGTGGGTCCTCCGGTGCGAAATTCCGGATTTCCCTGGGTCTTCCGGTGGGAGCCGTGATCAACTGTGCTGACAACACAGGTGAGGCCTTTCGCTGCACCCTGCTGCACTCCCCCTTTTAAAAGCACTCAGTGGGCCTTTTGCTAATGACCCACTGAGCCGTCAAGAAAGGGCAGAGCAAAAACACCGCTTTTGGGTGAAGTGGCAGCGTATTGTGTTGTTTTGCTTCAATCGGTGGTGTGACAAGGAGTTCCACCTTGGGAACTAACCGCTTGGGCAGCGAGTGGTGGGAGAGACTTTGGAAGTGTTTGGCAATTGTTACACCGGTATAACCCTCAAAAAACTAAGTTTTTATTTACATCCTTTTATAGGAGCTAAAAATCTGTATATCATCTCTGTGAAGGGGATCAAGGGACGCCTGAACAGACTTCCCGCCGCTGGTGTGGGTGACATGGTGATGGCCACAGTCAAGAAAGGCAAACCAGAGCTCAGAAAGAAGGGTGAGTACGCAAGGAGCCCTTATCTCATGGTGGATAGTTGAGGGATAACCCTGTATTGGAAAATGGAACTTTTTACAGTTCTCAAGGCTTCTTAAATCTTAATTTTTAATCTTTTTAGAGGTAGTGTGAGATAAATAAATGAAATTGAGGCTCTGCTCATACTGTCTTGGGGACCATCTTATCACTTCCCTACTTAAGATCTTCTTTGGCTTCTGATGTAAGCTAAGGGTTTGGCATATTCAACTTGGCACTTCCCCATCTCAGTTTATCAGACACCTGTAGACCACCTCCCATACCTATACCTATAGAAACAAGCCTGCCTTCCTGGAATTTACAGTCCACCCTCATCTGCTGGGTGTCATCCCCAGCTCTCAGTTCTTGGATTACCACTCCAACCTATACCCCTTCCAGCCTCAGATCCTTTGTCTGGAATATTCTAATCCACTCATCTTCAGCTCATTACTTGCTGGGCCTGCTGCCTGGAATATTCTAATCCACTCATCTTCAGCTCATTTACTTACTCACTTCTCCTCTCCCCAAGTGAAAATTCTTTTTTGTAACATTTAGGGTTGTGCCTTCTACTTAAGGTTCCATCAGAGCAGATCTTTGGTTCGTTGCTGATTCCTTGTCAACAAATATATATGGTGGTTCTTAGTAAAGAAATATTTTTTGGGGGCCGGCCCGTGGCTCGGGAGAGTGTGGTGCTGATAACACCAAGGCCCCGGGTTTGGATCCCATATAGGGATGGCCGGTTAGCTCACTGGGTGAGCGTGGTGCTGACAACACCAAGTCAAGGGTTAAGATCCCCTTACCCCGGTCATCTTTAAAAAAAAAAAAAAATATTTTTTTGACAGACGGTTTAGAGCTACACCTGGTGAGATCACCGCTTTAAGACTTATGTTGCCACAGGCGTGTTTCCTTTTCTAGACTGAACTGATTTGAAAGAGAATAATAACACATACTTTCTCAAGTGGTTGCGAGATCCAGGTGATGAGCTGCGTGTGTTTATTGTGGTTGGTTGGTTCTAGATCTCTTATGATAGAAACCACAAGAGGGAGCTGCTCATTGCTCAATCATGGGCGATCCCCCAGAAGTTTTCCCACCAACTATGTGAATTAAAAGGGGAAGCCTTGGAGCACTTCTGACTTGTAATGTCTTGTCTGACTTTAGAACTTCTGATATTTAGTGCACGTTTAACTTTCAGCTCCTGAACTTTTTCTTTGTGCCTGCTTGGTCTGTCTCTGCTCTGGGAT